TGGGGCTAATAACTCTTACATGATTAAATTACTGTGTGGTTAGTGAGAAGATTTCTTCACATGTCGGTGTCGCATTTGTTTTTTGCTAAGGGAGTTTTAAAACAATGCTAGAAGAATTTTCTACATCTAAAAAGTATGCTTTATATGGTCTTAGCAGCTACAAGTTTTTTCTTAATTTTTCCCCCAATATTACACAAAATCGTCAAAGAGTTTGAAATTATTTTATTATAGTGGGGTGCTTTATATCAAATAAATCTTTGGTTGTCCAATAAGAACAGTTAACATCTCAATTGCTGTGTTTTTAAATTTATTATTAAAATACTCTACTCCTGTAAATTATAAACAGACTAGATGGATTCTAGTGTAAAGTTTTAAAAATAAAGACATATTGAAACTTTTGTTTAGACTGTTATTAAAGGCGTGAAAACTAAGATTTACAACTAATTCTGGCTTAGGTATTTTGATGGCAAACCACAACTCTTGAAACAATGTATTTATATTCCCAGTATTTCCTTGTTATGAGTGTGTGCATAGGTGTGACTGCCCTTGTGTGCCCATGTGTGTGGAGGTCGGACAACTTGGATGTTGTTTCACAAGTGCCATTCACCCTTACTTTGAGGCAGGTTCTCTCCATGGCCTGGAGCTCATCAAGTAGTCTAGACTGGCTGGTCAGTGGGCTTCAGGAATCTGCCAAACTCTGCTTCCCCAGGGCTGTGATTACAAGCACACTGCATACGTCTGAGGGTTCTGGGTGTAGATTCAAACCTTCACGCTTGTACAACAGGCATGTTACTGAATTTTCAATGGTCTCCCCAGCCCCAGGTCCTTTTTTCTTAAAAGGTTGTTTAAAGAATGTTTTTAAATAAGAAAAATGAATGCATAGTCAATGAGTTTCTTAATCTACACTTTCACCTTTTAACGTACAATGATCTTGGGAAGACAATAAAATTACTTAAATACTAATTTTGCAGATTAGAAAATTGAGGTTGGACTGCTTGAGGTCATAAGCAATTAAGGGACAGTAAGGTTTTACACTGGAGAGAAATCTTTCTTCATCCTCCCACCATGGCTGGGGCCCAGGGATATAAACAGTTATACACAGTTGGATGGTAGTAGGTAGCGTGAATAGGAGGGTCTTATATTTCATTTTCAGTTGTTAACATGTAGAGCTTGAGGGCTTTCTGATAGTGCTGACAAGTATCACAGCATAGCCCCAGAATGGGTAGTCTACAAGAGCTGAATTATACATGTATTAATTTCTTTCCTTATTTTTGTGACCAAATATCTGACAAGAAAGCCCTTAAGGGAGGAAGAATTTATTTCAGCATATAATTTAAGGGGAGTTACTGTCCATCATGGAGGGGAAGGCATGGTGGCAGGAACATGAGGCATCTGGTCACGTTACAGAGCATCAACAGGAAGCAGAAAGAGATGGATGCTGGTGCTCAGTTTGTTTTCTTCTTTTTATTGAGCCCAGGACTCCAGTCCAGGGAATAGTGCCATTCACACGTAGAATGGGTCTTCTAACCTCAATTAATCCCATCTAGAAACTCCCACAAGGATGTGCCTGGAGTTTGCCTTTTAGGTGTTTCTAGATCCTGTCAAATTGACAACATTGATCACCGCGATACATAATGGTAGAATAAATCATGGGAATTTGGAAGGTGGAAAGTTGGAGAAAGCCTTGGGAAAGGTATTGGGGTAAAATTGTTAGATATTGTGGTTTGTTGAAAGCAGATAAGGAACATCAAATGTAGGAGAAATAACGCTTTTGATTTGGAACTTGGAGATTGAAATTCCTAAACATAGCAGCAGGTCAGACACTTGGGTAGGGTTCCAACTTGGAAGCATGGGCTTTGGCATTAAGGTAGGAGAGGAGGAAGAGGTTTTAAGGAACATCCCGAAGACTATTCCCACACCTGGATTCTCACAGATTCTTAGGAATCGCCTTCTACTTCCCGGCTTCCGTTTACTTTTTCGGTAATTTGAATGCCTCTCGGTCTTTGCACTTGTTTTATCTGGGACACTCTTTATTCAGGTGGCTGGATCTTCCCATACCTGAATCCCTGAGGACTGTCCTACCCACTCCATGAAGCACAAACAAGCACACAAAGTCTCGGGCCCTTGATAGCATCAGAGCACTAGTCATAATTCTGTCTAGTTACTTGCTTGATTTTGTCTGATCCTCTAACGTAAGTGGAGTAAGGCAGGGTCCATGCCTGCCTCTGCTGTGGTTGACTGTCCATCAGCTGGAAGTGATTGTCATAAGAAAGGCACTTCACATTTTTGAAAGAATGAATAAGTGAGCAGAATAGGGACTCCAATTTCTTCAAAGATGCTAATGTGGTCTGTACCTTTCTGTCTTATCTTCAGCTCCGTGTTCATTTTGTTCTAGCTAATTCCAAGTTCTTGAGGTTTTTGGAAAATTCCTCTCTGTGCTCTCTTTTATTTTCACTCCTTGAGATGTCCTTTTCTCACTACCCATTTTCTCTTTTATAAGCTCAAAACTTGGCTTAATTGTCACCTTGTCAAGAGCTTGTGGCTCCGTTCTTCTCTCCTGATTGCTTTCCCAGCACTTAACACACGTGACATAAAGCTGTCACATGTCTGTGTCCCTTGTACATTACAAACATCTTGAAGCTAAGGAGTGCCACTTGCTGATCACATTTCTTCCAAATTCATATGTTGAATTTCTAATCTCCAAGGTGTTAGTTTTAGGATATCAGGTTTCTAGAGATGATTAGGTTGTGAGGGTGGAGGGCTTGTCAGTGGGATTAGTGTCCTAATAAGAAGTCACACGGTTTATTCACCCTTTCTACTGTGTGAGGATATGGTGAAAACCTGACATTTATGAGTCAAAGACCAGGTATTAAATCTGTTGACACATTGCGTTTGGGCCTTCCTGGTCTCTAGAATACGGAGAACAATTTTCTGTTCTCTGTGAGTCACTCTGTTTATGGTAGTTTGTTATATCAACCCAAACAGAGTAAGCCAGGGAACATTCATCATTTGAGTTCACGTCATGATTTCTACTCAAGTACTTGGTACACTGGAGCTGTTTGATATTTGTTGAGTGGACGAAGACCTAGATGAAGAAATCATCAGGGAGGAATGTGAACTAGTTGACAAACACTAAGGTATTTAGAAACATACCCAATTAGCTGTGCACTTTGGAGTAAGTTATTTAGATTGCATAAGAATCTATGTCTACCCACCCTTGAGCACTGTAATTCAAATGAGATAATAGATGTCATATTCATCATGATTCTCCAGAGAAATAGAACGAATAGGATTTAATTAAGCCATTTAAAGAAATTGATGTACACAACTGTGTGGACTTAGTGAGTTCATGATGGTAAGGTGAGCCAGCAGACTGAAGACTCTGAAAAAAGAGCCCCAGTCCAAGTCCAAACCCAGCCTGATGAGGAACCAGGACAGAGGGTGAATGCCGTGAGCTAGCGGCCTCTCTCCTGGAGATGGACCTGTGTTCTGCTCAGGTCTTCAGTGGGTATGTGAGGCCCTCACACATGCTCCAGGAGGCAGTTTATTTTACTCAGAGTCCACTAACCTAATTTTAACCAAAACACCCTCACAGAAGCATCCAGAACAATGTTTAGCCAAGCATATGGGTCCTGCTGTCCAGCCAAGTTGACACATAAAGTTGACCTGCCGCATAGTTTCTTAGACTCTGATTAGGAAATACTCACCGGACTTTCTGTCTGATCCGGTGTCCCCAGTCAGCAGAACTGCTGTATCAAGGCTGCTGACTTGGGGCCTCTCACTGGATAGAAAATGAGATTTTCATTCTTTCTGCATTCTGAGTCTCTCTGCAGGCCAAGCATGTAAAACCGAGGTAGGTTTTCTACAAACAGCTTGGACAAGGAAGGCTTCTCAGTGTCAACTAGCAAGGGAACATGTGTGTAAGGAGGCTGCATAAGGAACATGCCATGGATTGTTGTGGCCTGACTCCAGGCTACGGTCAGTCACAGTTCCCCAAGTAGTGTAAGAATGAGCTCACACTGTGCTCTTTCCCTCTCTTGAAGGGAAGACTGCTTTAATCTGTATGAACAGAATGCACTCCTAAAAGACTGCCTTGAAGAGGACTGCCATATACATGCATGGGATGCCTTTCATGATATTCCTACAAAGCTGATGGACCCTCATGATTAAAAGGCTCACCTGGGCTGGGAAGATAGCTCAGATGGTGAAATGCACGCCACAAAAATATGAAGACCTGAGTTCAATCTGTAGAAATCACATCAAAAATCAGGCTTGGTGATGAGGCTGTAATTCCAGCACTGGGGAGGTGGAGACAGGAGGCTCCCTGAGGCTAATGGCCAGTCAACTTAGTTGAATTGTTGAGTCCCAGGTCCCAGTGAGAGGCTCTCCCTCAACAGACAAGGTGGAAGGCCTCTGAGGAACACTTGAGGTCGACCTTTGCACATGCACACCCACCCACCCACACCTAAACTGCCCCCACCCCGGTTCATGCTATTATGGCTTTTAGCTATGGGGAATTTCTTTTGCTAGATCACTGAGGCTCTTAGCTAAGTCTTATCAACCCCAAAAACAGAGATCCTGCATCATGATAACAGTGCAAAAGGGGTCCATTCAGCTGAGTCCTCATTACTTGACAGCTAACTGAGGAGTAACATTAAGTGACAGGCATGCTTCCCATAGTTCTGGGTATATCCTCAAGTAAGCAGGCTTCTATTTGCCACTGGCCTGTGCCTTGTACCACTGCAAGACACTTGGCCAATACTTTGTGAAAGATGCCTTTTGATAGAATAGAGTTGCCTTCAGTGGAGAAGGAGGGGAAGAGGGACAGGAAGGAAGCATTCAAAGAACTACACTACCATTCCTCCATTAGACTCGAACTAATAAATATCTATATGGCATTTGGGTGGAACGTTTTGTAGAACCAGTCCAAAACTACTCTGTGTCAAAATGTAAAGGTTTGACAGGAAGATGCATTTAGAAAAGACACAGCAAAAACCATGTTGAAAGCAGTTCATAAAATTTTATTTAATATTATTCAATTACACAGACCTTATAGTCAAAATGTACTTCTAGATCTTGTATCTGTCACTGAAATATGCCATAAACAGTCATTTTCTGATTTACTACCTGCAGATTTATATTAATGTGCTATAAAGAGCTAAATGATTTTATATGATGCTATTTACTAATTATAAAAATAGAGAAATAGAAAAATATTATTTGTCAATATCAGAAAATATATATTTCTTTCTAGTCCATTACTTTTGAAATTACATAAGCACTGAAGTAGAGAATAGTTAAACTGGTTATGCACATTATACGTATATTATGAATATGATGTTTTTTCATTGCTGAATTATAAAGCCCATGGCTCAGCACTGTATAATCTGGAATTTGTTTGAACATTGTTTCCATAATAGTGGTGACTATGAACAGTAGACAGAGCAGTTCTATGCACAGCAAAAGTCTAGTGTTGACCAGAGCTCCATCCTAATATCCTATTCCAAGAGTATTTAAATAATGATGGCATGTGGTCTATCCATGTGCAGTCTGGACAGCAGTCTTAGGCCTGAGTGGTGAACAGTATTTTAGGAAATACTCCCACTTTCTGTGTCCAGCACTAAAAAGGGAGCTATTTCAACAAAGGAGGCCTTAATAAAATCTAGAAACCCTCTTTTAGTTTTTTTTCCCCATGTCATAGTAAGTAATAATTTGACTTTCTTCGTTTGTTCTTAATGGAGCTAATTATATGTCCTAGTAACAGTATTAAAATTGCAGGTAATTTTTAATTATGAAGTGTTTCCTTGGGAACATTTTATTATATGTGAGTGTATTTTGTTCCAAAATAGTTCACTTCATTTACAATTAAAAATCAAAGATGGAGCATGGTATAGGGCAATTTGAAAACTGTCACACTAATCGCCATGAAAAAGTTAATTTTTCACAATAGACAACTGACAGAGCACATCCAATTAATTGGTAGGTGGCTACTTAACGGTTACCCTCAGAGAAGAATTATTTCATTTTATGACCATTAATTGGCCACTGGCATTAGACATTGTTTTTCTCAACTTAGAAATTTCTTTGAAAATTACATATATTTTAATTTGGAATGGACTGAACACAATGATTACATTTTTGAGAAAGATCATCCTGTGTTGGGAACATCAACGTTCACAGCAACTGTCTTACAAATCACCTTAACACACCGGCTTCACAGTTAAGGGTAAGCCTCTCTTTGGTTCATAAGGTGTTGTCCTGGAAACCATCCTGATGCAGTCGATAATAGGGCAGACGCTGAGGCAGAGTGTACAGCCTGTACACATGTCAGTAACGGCGGGCAGGTGGGTTTCTGGATCAAACTGTATAGCCTGCAAACAGAAACCAAGACAGTTGATGCCACTGCCCGACAAGGTCATGGACACCCCCGTTTTAGCATCCATATGTCTCTCCATGGCACTGGAGATAACTATGTCCGGTACCATGGTGGTGCAACTATAGCAACAGCTTCACTGACAGGAGGGAGAAGGAGAAAGCAATGAGGCTCCTTTAAATTAGAAACACAATGTTGAAAATTCCTTAGAGATGTTTTCCTTTCTTCAGTGAGGAAGTATTTTCCAGCTCTGAAGCTCTCTACCTTCTTTGTATGAGCACTACTCTGGTCTTGCCATGCCTACCACATTGGGGTGTCTTCTGCCTCATGGCGTTGGGGTACTTTCACACGTACCATTTTCCTCTTTATACTTCTTGTTTTCTAAGACTTGTGTATGAATGGGTACAAGTGCATGTGTGTGCAGGTGAACGTGTGTGTTGGTATGTGTGCATGTGTGTGCATGTGGAGGCCAGAGGACAACCTCGGGTGTCATCCTCAAGTCATCCACTTTCTTTACTTTGACACAGGATGGCTCATGGGTTGGGAGGTTGGGGCTCATCAATTAGGCTAGGTTGACTGGCCAGTGAGCCCCAGGGAGCCTCTTCTCTCTGCCTCCCCAGCAATGGGATTACAAGTGTTATGTCCGTCCTGGGTGGTGTTTTCTTTTTTGTTTGTTTGTTGTTTTGTTTTTGGTCTTTTTGAAACAGGGTCTCCCCTGTAACCCAGCTGACCTAGAACTCACTGTGTAGACCAGATTGGCCTTGAACTCACAGAGATCTGCATTCTGGGCATTTTTAATGTGGGCTCTGAGATTGAACTCGGGGCCTTTGTGCTTCCAAGGCCAGCTCTTTACTGACTGAGCCATTCTGCTGGCCTACACTTCTTGTTCCTGAGAGTGGAAAGCATTTCTGTCAGGTAGGGTCCTAAATGCACTTCAAATAGTGCATGTCATTTTGGGAAGAAAGCAGTAGACAGAATTAGCTGAACAGTCAGTTTTGAGTTGTAACCATGTTGTATTTTATTCCAGGCATCATTCCATCACAGAAAGGACAAAACTTAGAACAGAGAGCCAGGACAGCTGCAGTCCCATTCTGACTCTGATATCTGCCCTCCCTCCCTCCCTCCCTCCCTCCCTGCTTCCCTCCCTCCCTGTTTCCCTCCCTACCTCCCCCTCTTGTAGCCGTATAAGAGACAATAAATATACATCCAGAGGTTCTGTACCCATGAATCCAACCAACTTCAGGTCAAAAATATTTGGGAAAAGTTGCATCTGTTCTCAAAATATAAAGTTCTTTTTTGTCGTCATTATTTCCTAATAAACAGCATAATAACTATATGCATAGAATTTGCATTGTATTAGATAGTATCATTTATTTTAAAATTTTTTTGATTTATTTTTATTTTATGTGTGTGTGTTGCATGCATGTATGCAAGTACACTCATGTTGTGCAATGCTCACACAGGGCAGAAGAGGGCATCAGATCCCCTGGAACTGGAGCTACAGATGGTTGTCGGCTGCCATGTGGGTGCTAGGATTCAAACCTGGGTCTTCTGCAAGAACAGCCAGTGTTCTTAACCTCTGAGCCATCTCTCCAGCCCAGGTACGATATTTTCAAGATGATTTAAAGTATGTGACTAGGTGAGTACAGGATATGTATGAACTCTATACGATCTCATAGCATGCATTTGAGCAGCCATTGGTTTGGTATTCAAAGGGGTCCTAGAATCAAACATCTATGGATGCCAAGTTTGATGGCCTAGGTTTGATCTCGGGACTCACATGGTAGAAGGACCGAATGGACTCCCACAGGTTGTCCTCTGGCCTCCACATGAATACTGTGGCATGCACACCCACACACATATGCACATATACACAAAATAAATAAATAAATAAATAAATAAATAAATAAGTGAATAAATGGAAAAATTGAAAAAAATATGTGTCAAAGAATATTTAAAATTTCCCCAGGAGCACT